GGATGAGTCTCCGGTTTGATTGATTTGTCATATGCAGCATGAGTTGGTCTCAACAACTGTGACTCAGCTCAGTAGGAGTAGACTTTTTCGGATCTACCCCAGCTCCTCACATTCTGCGGTGAACAAGACGAGATATCATTTTGCAGACCACGTACCATAGAGAGTCCCAATGAGGGCAATGTGCTAGAACAAATGATTGGATAGGTGGGCCTCTAGCTCAGCTTGTCAGGAGTGGGGGGGCGGGTTGGGGGGAGCGAGCCCTGCAAGCCCCGCGGCAGAATTTTTAAGAGCTTTTTTTCTCTTCCTCTTTCTTTTTATTTGTTCAAGCCAGACGTTCACGTTGCAGAGGCTACTACGTCATCTATCCAACTTGTCGAAAAGTCTGGCGGTGTCCTCAGCCTAGGTCTTGCCACAACTCCTTTCCCCGTCCTTTGCGAATGACAAGGAAGGAATTAGAGCCCGTTTCTAAATGTCAGCGTCCAGGGACGTGCGCCGCGGTGGGTGCGCGCCCCCTTCATGCTCTCGGCGCATCCCTGTGCACATCCCAAACGGCTGAAGTAGTTAAAGGTGTCCTTGCGAGAAGTCAGTGATGTGATGCTGAGATTAGGAAATTGTCGTGGCCAACCGTGTTGTTTTTCGTGCACCCCGCCCCCCCAGTCATTAGGAATCTTCCTTAAAACCAGACACCGTTTCGAACCACTAGATGGCGTGAAGGGAGGGAAGTTAAATCTATCCCTAAGGTTTGGATGCTTTAGAAAGGTGAAGGATCAAAAATGAAGTGAGCCTGCAGGGAATCAGCTCACAGAAATATCCTCAAATCCCCGACTCCCCACCCACTTTTTAGCAATTAGAGCTATTACTCAGACTCGAGTCTGCATTTTGATGAAAATGGAATGAGATGTGGAGAGTTTCTTGTTGAAATGCCTTTGAAAATTAAATGTAGATGACTGAATAATTGTAATTATTGTTATAATAAAGGCCTTTGGAAATTTTGATTAAGAAAAGATGTCTAATTTCTACCTGAAAATTACCTCTTCAAGACTTGTTGACTGTACTTGGTGGATAAACTAAGTGGACTGAAATGTATAATCTTGAATTGAATTGACTTCCAAGCCCTGGAGATAATAGAGACAGAATCCAGCAGATGATGAAGATTATGTGTACAGAATCCAGCAGAACATTCTATATGTTTCCCTTGCCCAGGGATTCCTCTTCTTCTTTCTGGAGTTCTCATTTTGTACACCCTGCTTGGTTGATAGAAAATAAACTCGGCAAGATCAAAATTGAATCCAAGAGCCCTTCCTCTCCTGTTGTCTACTCTGTTTTCTCTCCCAATAAATAAAGCCCGAGGAAGAAACTTGGTGGTCATCATAGACCATGTCCTGTCCTCCACTGCTTACCCCACCAAGCACACACCCCCAATAACTCTGTATATTTCACCTTCCTTAGCAGTCTATCTTCATACTGTACCTAGAGTGATTTTTAAAAACCATTTTGAGATAATTATAGATTCACATACACTTGTGAGAAAGAATAGAGATCCCTCATACCTATCACCTAGTTTCCCTCAAAGGTAACATCTTACCCATTCCAGTACAATAATACAACCAGGAAATCAACTTTCACACAATCTACCAACCTTATTCAGATTTCACTATGTACACGAAATTTTATGTACTATACTTATTTCTGTCTAATTTTTAAAAATATATTTATTGATTTCAGAGAGGAAGGGAGATAGAAACATCAATGATGAGAGAGAATCATTAATCGGCTGCCTCCTGCATGCCCCCTACTGGGGATCGAGCCCGCAACCCGGGCATGTGCCCTGACCAGGAATTGAACCGTGACCTCTGGTTCATAGGCTGATGCTCAACCACTGAGCCACGCCAGCTGGGCTAATTCTGTTTAATTTTATCACACATGTAGATATACCATTTTATATCCCACCAGCCAACAAAAGTTATCCGGTTTCTCAGCATCCTCATCAACATTTGGCATCACTATTTTTCATGTTAGCCATTCTGATAATGTATAGTGACATCTCACTGTGATTTTTATGTTCGTTTCTCTAATGGCTAATTTTGCTGAACGCATTCAAATGTTCATTTTTGCCATCTGTATATTCTTCAGCAAAATGCCTGTTCCTGTCTTTTGCCTACTTTTCAATTAGATTGTTTTTTATTTTGGAGAACTGTTTATATATTCTAAATAATTGACCTTTGCAAACAATTTTCCTAGTCTTAGCATCCTCCTTGCAGGATATTTTTTGCAAAGCAATAGTTTTTAATTTATGAGGTCCAATTTATGATTTAAGTTTATGGTTTATGAGCAATTTTGAGTTAATTTTTATACATGGTGTTGAGGTTTAGGTTAAAGCCACCTACCTCACCCCACCCTTTATTTTTATTTTTTTTTTGCCTATAACTGTCCAGTTCCTTCAGCAGCATTTGTTGAAAAGTCTATTTTTCCTATATTGAATTGCTTTTGTACCCTTGTCAAAAATCAGTAGGGTATATTTTTGTGGTCTATTTTTAGGTTCCCTATTTTGTTCCATTTATGTGTGCCTATGCCCTCACTAAAAGGACACGTTCTTGAGAGCAGCTGTAAAATAACTCTTAACATGAAGTAAAATTATTCCTTACACTCTATTATTCTTTTTCAAAGTTGATTAGCTATTCTAGGTCCTTGCCTTTCTATATAAATTCTAGAATAAATCTGTCTATGTGTACAAAACGCCTTGCTGGGATTTTAAATGGCATTGCATTACACCGATAAATCAATTTGGGGGTGCTGAGATTTTCATAGACATTTCATTGTATCTATAAGTCAATGTACATTGCTATGTTAAGTCTTTTGACCTATGAGCACAGTATGTCTTTCCATTTATTTAGTTCTTTTTATGTTTATTTCATCAGCATTTTGAAAATTTCAGAATGCAGATCCCGTACATGTTTTATTAGATTTATACTAAGTATTTCAATTTATTTGGAGGAATTCTGAAAAGTATTGTGTTTTTTTAAATTCCATTTTGTATACATTCATTATTAGTATATAGAAATGCAGTTGATTTTGTGTATTGATCTTGCACTTGCAATTTTGTTGAATTTCCTTATTAATTCTTGGATTTTCTATGTAGACAATTAAGTCACCTGAGATAGGGTCAGTTTTATTTTTTCCTTTGCAACCTGTATTATGCCTTTTATTTAAAGTACTAGAGGCATGATGCATGAGATTCATGCACTCAAGGAGATCCCTCACCCTAGCCTGTACCCTCTCACAGTCTGGGAGCCCTCAGGGGATGTCCCACTGATGGCTTAGGCCTGCTCCCAAAGAGCAGGCCTAAGCCCTCAGTCGGACATCCTTTGCGCTGCCACGGAGGCAAGAGAGGCTCCCGCCACTGCCGCTGCACTCGCCAGCCGTGAGCCTGGCTTCTGGCTGAGTGGCACTCCCCCTGTGGGAGCCCACTGACCACCAGGGGGCAGCTTCTGCATTGAGTGTCTGCCCCCTGGTGGTCAGTGCGCATCATAGCGACCGGTCATTCCTCCATTCAGTCAATTTGCATATTAGCCTTTTATAATATAGGATGTTTATTTATGCACTTATAATGGTCACTATCTGAACATTTTTAGAAATCAGTCATTCACAGAGCATATAGGACTTTCAGAATCTCAATTTCCTCTACCATTTAAGCCTCATCTCATGCTATCCTGA